GCAGGAAACTTGAGAGTTAAAGCACCTGGGTAGTAGTTTTCATGTTATTAATTGATAATATGCATGTGCATAATATCCAGTGTTATTGCACATTAAGATTAGCACCTGTAATAACTGGCGCTGCTGCATGGCGCGTGTTCTTTTAGTGACACTGATGCACAGTAATCTAATTCTACTGTGCATTAGTGCATTGGCATGGCTTTTGCTGTGATGGACTAATACACAATAGAATTAGTCTACTGCACATTCAGGATCTCGTGTAGACACACCCAGTGTCTTGTTAAGTTTGGCATGAAGTACTAGCCCCATTTTATAGACAGAACAGCCAAACAAAGAGAGAAGCTGATGCATTCTCTCTGAGGGCAGTGTGGCTGATGAACGAAACTGCTACATTAAACTGCTATATTGGTTCTGCTATATTAAAGTCTTGTATTTTATTCCTAGCTTTATGTGAACTCACTCTGTGTAACTTAACCTATCTGAAAAATAGGAAGAATGATACTTGCTGCCTTGCTCAAGTTATGATAAGATTTCTTCTCTAAAATAGTAGCTTCACTTAATGCATGTCACATGCAGAGAATGATTACATATAGCCAGTGGAAGAGGTATGCACTGTTGGTGCTCCCTTTAGGTGAAAGAGTTTTTTTATGCACAACCCCTCATCACCTGCACTGTCAAAAAGTTTTGGGAAGTTCACTAGTAATGAAGACTGTGTTTAGCATAGTAAGATTTCAAACTTGGAGGCAGAATGAAGAACTCTTGTACAAACTCCACCACACGTGGCAGTATTGCTAGGTTTATAACTCAGAAGTCCAAGAGATTCTTCGAAGGGACAGTGATAGAGTTCTTTCTGCTGGCTTTGCCAGAGTTTAGTTTCCTAATCCAAATTCTTAGGGCACTAATGTGGTTTTTAATTACAAATTGCCAAAGTTTAGCAATGTGACCTTTTATCTACTAAGTAAGTCCTTGACAGTAAGTGAACTGTTTTTATTAGACTGTCAGAGCTGTCAACCCATGGCAAAAACAAACCTTGGAGAATTTCAGTCACAATAGTTTCAGTTTGACAAAATTAACAAAATAAAAACAAAGCTCAGTAACCAGTATTGCTATATGCACTGCATATAACATCTAGAACCCATAATCAAGCACATGGGATTTTAATCAGTGGTGAAATGTTTCTGTTACTAAGCAGTTCAATTTGCTGCTTTTTTATGTAAACATACATGCCTGTTTTTGATTAGACTACATATTTCCTATGTGATTCAGGGGCCAGATCTCTGCTTACTATTTTAACTTTCTGATGTGTAAAGGGATAGGAAATATAACTGCATGTCGGTGGTTTGTTGATAATTGAATGAGAACATGATAAAATTAAGGACATTTTCCTTTTTACAGAATTTCCCTTCTATTAAATATAGGGAAGCATGCCTACTTTTTACATAATGATGACATCTCTGGGTAGAAGCATTCTAGAAGTATAAAAGTAGCTAGGAAATACAGTGTGTGCTATGAGGTTTAGTTCTATGAAATGGCAATGGCAGGGAGTCTGTGCTGTTTACCAGGTACAAGAGTATAAGCTGTCCTGAAGCATGCAGATAATTTTTTAGGAGGAACAGTGGAGAAATCTCTTTTGAGTATTCCTTAAAAATTTAATTCAACTCCATAACTTTGCAGAATGCTTCAGAAAGACTGAAAAAGACCTGATCTCTGCCCGGTGGGGTTTGTAGTATAAATTAGACAAACAGAATGTGAATCTGACAAAAAAAGGAAGAGGATAGGTGAAGGTGTGACAACAGTTAAAAGCAAAAAAAGAATATGAAATACAAGCAGGTCCCATACATTTTGACATTTTAAAATAGTTACTGATTCTGAGACAAAAAAAGGAGGAATGGCCAACAAAGTTGGCATAAAAATCAGCAATCTTAGGCAAGGCACCAAAGGGCAGGTTTTCAGAAGGGATCTGAGTGGGATTTGATGGAGGGAAAGTGTGGCATGGGAAGAACACACTATTCTAAGGATAGGCGAGCAGTGTGAGAAGACATGAAGGTGAAAATGGGAGCAAGGACAAAAAGAGGAGAAAAGTAAGAAGTGGGATAACAGCATGGAAGGTGAGATGGGGAGCAATAATAGACAAGAGGTATGGCAAAGGTGTGCAGATCCCTAAAA